GATGGAGTATTACTGACTGAAGCAACAGTACTGGGGACATCTAATAATAATAAATAATAATAATAATAATAATAATAATAATGTTGTGCCACCTTGTGGAGTGTCAGCTCTTCTCTAAAATAAAAAAAAATAAAATTAATTATTGACTTCTCTCTCTCTTTGTTACCTTTCTAGTTGATAAATATTGCAATGACTGGTGGAATGTTAGTCTCGGCTTATCCTATGAAGTAAGGAGTGTACAATATTAATAATAATAATATTAATAATAATAATTAATAAGAAAATGAAGAATGGAGATCACTGACCTGTTGCTGAAGGAGCTCATCTCTGTTTGGATAAATCTAATAAAAATTAAATAAAATATAATAATTATTATAATTAATAATGGTTAGCTACCTTGGCAATGAGTGCATCAAAGTTGGGATCAGACCTCAACGAACGTTTTGAAGCTAACTTCTTTCGACAAGTAGGACACTCTTTATTACTAAAGAAACATAAAGAAACACTATTAATATTTACAGAAAGTAGGACACTCTTTATTACTAAAGAAACATAAAGAAACACTATTAATATTTACAGAAAGTAGGACACTCTTTATTACTAAAGAAACATAAAGAAACACTATTAATATTTACAGAAAGTAGGACACTCTTTATTACTAAAGAAACATTAAGAAACACTATTAATATTTACAGAAAACAATGTCCATATGCTATATGTAACATGCTACAAGATAGCATGAACACACATGTCACAGACCACTCTTGGCTATACACAATATTAGGGAGTCTTACCCACTCCTCAGGGCAGTGATGATACACTCTTGACAGAAACGATGCAAGCACTAATAAATGAATAAATGAATAATGATGATGATGATTAAATATAATTATGTTCATCAATTATTCATGAAGGAATTCCAAATAAGTAAAGCTGAATTGAAAAACAAATTCTCTCTCTTCCCCCCCCCTCTCTCTCCCTCTCTCTAACCTCTTTTGTAGTTTGTGCATTCTTCATGAGGTCCAGACAGATTGGACACATCAGCTCAGAGTGCAGGGCCCTGGGGCTGATCCTTAGCAACGAACCATCAGTTACTACATCATGAGGCTTACGCTGTACCTCATACAAAGAGAGATCTGAAGAGAGAGAAAGAAAGAGGGAAAGATTAGCAAAATAAAGCAAAAAATGAACATGTTATATATATTGTATTGAAAAATAGATGAATTATCATATAATTACATATACAGTTCTTTATTGTTAATGATGGTCTATCATTAGTGATAAAGACCAATGGTGGAGTATGACACAGACTGGTAGCAGAAATAAAAGGCTTTCAGTCAGTTTAAGGTGGATACCAAACAGTGTATGATGATACCGGCCAGTTGAAAGATATTCTCTCACTGAATGGCCGCCAATCATTCCACAATAGACCACACTCCTCCAATACTGCAGTAATACTCACCCCAGATAGAGTTCTCAGGCAAGCTACTAGAACTAGAGGACATTTTGAATGCAAAAAGAAAGAGAGAAGAGCTAATGGCGTAACTGCATCAACCAACACTGCAACACTAACTGACCACACCCACCACAACGGGAACCACTCATACACGTAGTAAAATTACACAGTAGATCTAATTTAAAATTCAAAACTCAATATCTTTTTAAAGTAAATCAGCTGAAATATACAACAATAATTACAAGAATGAATTAAAACTAGGAGCAGTTCTTATTGTATAGTGTTAGAAGAGCTGTCTCTCCTTTCACTGTCAAGGACATTAGCAGAGACCCAGGTCATAGCCCAGCGAATATTAGTCAGGGTGAACTTTAAAGCCTTGGTCCACCTCTCCTCCGTGTTGAACTGTACTTTTATCGAGTAATATTCATCTCCATCACCGATCCTTTCTTTCTCTATATAATAAGGTAAGGTGAACTTCCCTTCTGATATTCGACTAATGTGAGCCTTAAACTGATTCAGACAGTCCAGAAACGCCACCATCCCTAGGTCGTATTTGGAGTCAGCAAAAATACGAGAGCTGGTATGAAGTGGTAAGTATTTCTTCTTTCCCTCGTCGTCCTGGACAAAAGACTGACTCCCATAAGGCCTTAGTTTGTATCTCTTGAAGGAGACTCCACACACGTTGGCTAGGGTGTACAGCAGAAGAGTGGCTTGGCCCCAGGCAGCATTAATTTCGGACCATTCCACCGGTATACTGGGTAATTTACCGAACCGCAGTCCATTAATTGTAGCAAAATGGCCGTTGTGCGATATGTAGAATGCCGTATTAAGAACTGATTTCCTTTTTAGTCGTCCCAGTTGGTCCCTGGTATACTGGAGCTGTAGCTCAACTCCGAAGGACTGATCCCTCAGATCCAACTGCTGGAGCTGATGCTCATTAAAAGACTCCCAAAACTCTCTCTCTTCTTTATCAAGACGTGTCCCTCTCTCCTTCTCTTTCTTTAACTGATCCTCTATCTTAACTAATCCATCCTGTACTCCTGATAATTCTATAGTTAAGGACTCTTCTTCTCGCTGGAGGTCAACCAGCTCCTGCTCAAGTTTATCAATGTCCTCAGTATTTGAAGAAGAAGTGACTAGGTCTTCCAGGAACCGACGGTAATTATCAACAGCTTCTTCAGCCAGTCTAATCTCCTCTTTGTAGTAGTCCATGGTTGATTCAGGGCAGGAGGAGCAGAGAGGATGATCAATGTCGCTCTGCTCTGAGAGGGACCTGAAACAATCAGTGACCACTGCCACGTCGTTTGATATTGACTCTAACTCATTCTTTGGAGTAGAGTAAGGAGCTGGGGATAGTTCTTTAACCTGTAGCATCATAGAACTGAAAGGTAAAGGTGTGGTCATGTTTTACTTGTTTGTTCGTTTTCTTGGTGAGGTTAGTGGCCGCTTTGACCAGCTCTGATGATTGCAGTGTGTTATGAAGACGTATTGGGGTAGAGCATCTCTGGCAAACCACAGTAACAAGCATTCCTTCTTTATCTCGAGCCTTCTCTGAAGTAGCCATTTTCTAGCTCCTCCTTTGAGCCTAGCCACACCCCTATGTCCTGGGCATGCGCAGTAGCAATGTCTGGGAACTGTCAGTTAATCAAGTAAAGGGAATAATTATTTTTATACACACAACAGCAACACAGTAAATAATAATAATATTAATTAATTAATTAATAATCTACTCCTTAGCAGTTGCTTTCCTAGCGCTCTTTGCATCGCCTTTTCTGTACAGTATAATCTCCTGAAAAAACAAAAATAATTAATCATCATCATCAACATTAATATCGTTACCTGTTGCTTGAAATACCTCCTCTCCTCCTCATCAACCAGGACAAGATTCAAGTAATAACGACACGAGAACTTTTTATTAACTTCTCTCATGGTTGGTGTCAACTCATAGCCAGACAAGAACAGTCTTATCGGAATAGACTCACCTAGTCATTAATAACTGACCACACCCAGAATGACCATACCCACCTCTTACTGGTGCTCCATCCATTATTTCATATTTCGCAACTTGTTCATTTTCTGTGTACACGTTTGGAGCTGTGGGTATTAATTAAAGTAGTTATTAATGAGGAGGCGTGGCTTACGTGTTCCTGTGGTTTCCTTTTTAATAATTGCAATCTCCATATGCTTAATCTTGATACGAACCAACAGGAAATAAATCTTACCCACTACAACATCACGCAAATGATATCTGGAGGAGAGAGAGAGAGAGAGAGAGAGAGAGAGAGAGAGAGAGAGCAGTCACACTGTTATTATCAAGTGTATAACCAACTTTGATTTGTTATATTCAAATTCAATATGGAGACAGTCTTCAATTCCAACTTCCATTTTAAGACTGAGGAAAAAGGGAAAGTAATATGGTATATAGTGCCAAACTTTCATCAAGAAAATCTCATATTAACTTATCAATAAATTAATTATTAATTAGGTTGACTGGTATTGAGGAAGGATCCTTTATCACAACAACCATGCAAGCAAAATCAACAAGATCTGTCCCTGACAGAATTTGTCACCAGAGCAAAGAGGAGGTTACCTGTTAATGATGTCAGGATAAGAAGAGAGGGTGTGTACCGCCACGTCAAGTTCCTTGACGATGTCAGAGATCCTTCTAATGATGACCACTCGTACAAAGTACCTGAGTCTCACGTTAGTCCCAGTGTAGGTTTCATGAGGTTTGTCAACATGAAGGAACTCAAACGGGTAAGTGGTGGACTGGTTGAGTTCACCAGGTGGAGCTAACTGACGTACAAGAGATAAGAAATCATGATGATTACCTCTATCGTAAAACATCTCTAAATAATGATAACAAAGAATGAAATAATAATTATTAATTATTATTACTGTGTTACCATTATGGTGGGATAATTTCGTGCATTAAAATGTTTGCAAGATTAATTTTGACAAATTTCCCCTAGTTCATTAGACTCTTATATAGCATTTTGTGAACTTTTAAGCTCCAAACCTTATTCACATTCAAAATTTTTGCTGCCTTGGGACTTTGGCTTTACAAATTTTAGCATTTTCTTCAAATTAATTAATATTGACGGTACTGGTTAATTATAGTGAGTGGGTGTTGTTTACCTATCTGTCCCACAAACTCGACTCGTATTCCCTGGTGCTCTAGTTTCTTTCCTTTCAAGTTGATCTGTACCCGCCCCGAGACTGTCTCCCCGTCAAGGTACAGTGGGAGTTTGTCTTTCTTTCCTTCTTCATTCTTCACCTCAACTTTCTTTCTCTTCTCTGAGTCTGACAGTTCTATGCTTATGTCTGCTCCCTGACCAATGCCAAAGAAACTCTAGAAAGAGAGAGACACAAAGTTAGAGGAGACCAGAACGCCCTCTCTCCCTCACCATTTTGAGATTTAACTGCTAGGCAGCCCCACCCCTCAATGGGTCACGTGATCAATTAATTATCATTAATAAAATAATTTAAAAGTCAAAGCTACATGCATAAATAAAAAATTATTATCATTATTGACACCACTTCAGTTTAGGATACACCATACAATGATAGGAGAGAAATCTAAATAAAATAAAATAAATAAATAAATAAATAAATAAATACACAAACTCCATGCCTTGTAGGATCAGCATTGTAAGAGAAGCGAGGATTAGGTAAGTTTAATGAAGTGTTCCATCTGCCATGATAAGCTCCTTCTAAATGTCCATAACCAAATGATATCTAAGCACAATATTAATTTGTATCTCAACAGTGGATACAAACCATTTTCATGGACTCCTCTTTTGGTAGTTGATCTAGTAATTCTAAATGTGACCACATCTGCTTCTCCTCTGTCTGCTTGTGTCCAAGGACACCAACTGAATGAATTAAAATTATAAACTCAAACAATTGTGCTTTATATACTTGAAAACTGATGTACTTATGTTATGTAGAAAGTGTGAACTTAATCTGGCGTCAATCTTTCAAGTTATGGCTATTTAAAAATTGGCTGAATTTCTGAAAAATTCCCTGTACTATAGCCCATTATTTTTTCCAAAAATGGCTCCAAAATCATCTCAAATTTTTATTACATTTTCTAATACATATTGATGTACTTATGCTGTGTAGAAAGTTTGAGCCGATTCCAACTTCAATTTTTCAAGTTATGGCCATTTTAAAAAACGAGCCAAAATCTGAAAAATTCCCTGTACTATAGCCCATGGTTTTTTCCAAAAATGGCTCTGAAATCACTCTAAATTTTTTTTACATTTTTTGATACATATTGATGTACTTATGCTGTGTAGAAAATTTGAGCTAATTCTGAGCACTATTTTTTGATACATTTACCTATTATTATTGAAATAGTCACATCGTCTATTCTGGTTGTTTTAGAACAACTCTTGTCAAAATTGCCACCTCTATGGAAAAATAATAATAATAATAATAATAATAATAATAATAATAATAATAATAATAATAATAATACTTACCTTAAATATTTCTCAGTTTCTTTCATCATCTGCTTACTCAAGCAATAAACATTGCCAGTGTTAAATTTATAGTTATTCCCTTTCTAAAAGTAAGAAGGACAAAAAATAATAATAATAATAACAAAAACAACAATTTTAATTAAAAGTCTCCTAAACTCCCTCCAGATCTAACAGTGATTAATCACTTACCGCTTCCGGAAAATTCTGTCTCAAATAGAAAGACAGCTAAAACGAACATGTAAATGAATAAATAAATTGTTGGATCAGTTGATAGGTTACTCACTGGCGTTGGTCCATGATGGCTCTTTCCAATATACCATGGTTTGTTAGGATCATATTTTATTAACATTCTCTTCAGTTTCCAGACATTATAATACTGATCATCATCAATATGACAAAACCAACTGTACATTAATAAATATAATAATAAATAAATAATTATCATTTAATACTTACTTGTACTTTTTACCGGATTCTATTGATTTATAAAAGCGATCATACTCAACACCACTTTTACAACAAAGTGACTGACTAATGAATAATAAAAATAAATAAACAAATAAAATAATACTAACACACTGTGACCGAGCCCACACTGTGTTGCTGCACTTATTGAGTAACCTAATAATAACAATAATAATAATAGACCACACCCTGTTCCTGCCCCTCCCCCTGGTTACCACGACTACTAAAAGCATCAGTCCAATTAGTAGTAGCATCAGTTATAATAGATATCTATAATAAATTAATTAATTAATAAAAATAATGTGTGACTATAATTGACAAAAGGTACCTTATGGCGGCTAAATAATTTGTCTTTTATAGCAAAAAAATCCACCTTGCCAAGCAATACTGATAACGCGATTGCACAGAATGAATCAATCAATGGATGAATGACAAACAACACATTTAACTACATAACCCTCGCCCATGCTAATCGCTGGTGAGGCCAAAAAGTTACTACGTAATTTTTGGAAACAACACTTCTCTGATAGTACACAGACGAGTTGACATTACGAATTTAATAATCTGCCAAATGATACCTTTTGTCAATCATAGCCAAACAATTACTGTAACTAAGTACTTGTTCAATGCTGACAGTCTGAGCCCATGTTAACATAACAGTGTTTAGTCTGTCTGGGTATATTGAAGCAGTTTTGACAGAGAAATAAATATCACTGATATCAACAGGAATGAGTATCTTCTCAGGTACTCTATGACCCACTAACTTCATGTCAGATAATGGAGACACACCTAAACTGTATTCTATGAATCCTGAGAGAGAGAGAGAGAGAGAGAGAGAGGGAGAGAGAGAGAGAGAGAGAGAGAGAGAGGGGGGGGGAGGGACAAGTATGATACATGTACATGTAGATAGAGGTTGTATTGGTATAAGTGTATTGGTTTGGTTGGTTACCAGACTCCAAGATGTCATTTGGATTCATGAAAGATGCTCTGGCTGGTTGAGTGGTGACACTAGTTGGATCTGTTGATGCCTCATCAAGTGTTGTGTTTGGTTTTATTATTATTAAGTTTCTGTGACGACTAGATACAAGTACTGTAGTGGATATTGACTGATGAGATGTGTTGGTAATTTCTGTGAATGAATATTATATATGTTATACATAAATAAAATAAAATAATTTAAATTTACTTGACAAATAAAAGAGCAACATGAGTAGAGAAAAGATCAGACAGAGAAGCGCCATTCCAATCTTATGCTTCATGGCAATAGAAGGATGATGGACTGGGAGCTAGAGAGAGAGAGAGACAGACAGACAGACAGACAGGATGGAACTGATGGAAGGTTACACAACTAAGTATGGCTGCTGCCCCACCCACTCACTAACCGGCCCATAAATCAAAATTTCAAATCAAAACTCATTCACTAGAACAAGAGTAGATAATGCTTAGAATCACTTGCCAATTCAGTTGAGCCTTGACTTGAGGCGAATGTTGCTAATTATATAATTTTAATTGCTGAGAGGTTCTTAAGTATAAATAAAGGTGTCCAAGAACTATCCGAGCCTTCTTAATAGTGTGAATGACTCCATTAAGATTGTCACATTGTATAACCTGCCTAGTTGCAATTGACCAATCAGATTGCTTGATTTTAGGTTCATAAATAAAATATTTACCACTTACTCGGTGTTAAGCTTTAGTGTATACTAGAATTTAGTTATTACTATAAAATTATAATTATAAAGCCAATTAAAAAATAAAAATTATCATTATTGACACCACTTCAGTTTAGGATACACCATACAATGATAGGAGAGAAATCTAAATAAAATAAAATAAATAAATAAATACACAAACTCCATGCCTTGTAGGATCAGCATTGTAAGAGAAGCGAGGATTAGGTAAGTTTAATGAAGTGTTCCATCTGCCATGATAAGCTCCTTCTAAATGTCCATAACCAAATGATATCTAAGCACAATATTAATTTGTATCTCAACAGTGGATACAAACCATTTTCATGGACTCCTCTTTTGGTAGTTGATCTAGTAATTCTAAATGTGACCACATCTGCTTCTCCTCTGTTGGAGTATGGCCAAGGACACCAACTGAATGAATTAAAATTAAACTAATAATATTAATCATTAATATTATACCGATAATAATAGCAATTGTGACATCATCAGGTTGTCTAGTTTTATCACACGATTTAGGGAAATTCTTAGCCCTTGAGAAAAAAAGTAGTAATAATAACAACAACAACAACAACAAAAATAATAATAATAAAAATAATACCTTAAATATTTCTCAATTTCTTTCATTGTCTGTTTACTCAAGCAATAAACATTGCCAGTGTTGAATTTATAATCATGCCTCTTCTAATAAATAAAATAATAATAATAATAATAATAATAATAATAATAATAATAATAATAATTATTATTATTATTATTATTATACTAAAAAGTTACAGATACTTACAGCTTCAGGAAATGGAAAAGAATTATACTAGAGAAGGAGAAGGCCATTACATAACAACAATACAGTTCATTCTGTGAGGGCTACTTACACTAGTGAATCCATGATGGCTCTTTCCAATATACCATGGCTTGTTAGGATCATATTTTATTAACATTCTCTTCAGTTTCCAGACATTATAATACTGATCATCATCAATATGACACAACCAACTGTACATTAATAATAATTAAAGAATAATTATTTAATACTTACTTGTAATTTTTACCGGATTCTATTGATTTATAAAAGTGATCGTACTCAACACCACTTTTACAACAGAGAGAAAAATAGCTAATTAATTAATAATGATTATTATTATTAATATTAATATTATTAATCCCTACTGTTCATGTCCTAGTCCACAGTGAGGTGCCAAGTTTATCTTATAACCTATCAATAAACAAACAATTAAAAAAAGCAATTATGATAACAGCTAGTGTCCACCTCTTGCTGCAAAAGCATCAGTCCAATTAGTAGCTTTATCTGTTGTAAAGGATATCTAAATAAATTAGAATAAATAATAAATAAATAATAATTATTGTAACCAAGTACTTGTTCAATGCTAACAGTCTGAGCCCATGTTAACATAACAGTGTTTAGTCTGTCTGGATATATTGAAGCAGTTTTGACAGAGAAATAAATATCACTGATATCAACAGGAATGAGTATCTTCTCAGGTACTCTATGACCCACTAACTTCATGTCAGATAATGGAGACACACCTAAACTGTATTCTATGAATCCTGAGAGAGAGAGAGAGATTAATAATTATTAATTACTCATTGCAATCAGTTCACAGTCAGCAAAAAACAAAATTTTCACCTCTAAGTGGGTGACAATTTTTACTTAAAATTTGGTAATCACAAGTTTTCCCTACAACTTTCACATATTCTATGCCACTACGTGTTTCACAGAATCGATTTCTGCAAATAGCTTGCAGACTGCACTATGTGGCAACAGAGATTTGATGGGAAATTTTTGTGATAAAAACTAGTATGTATATATATAATATTATGTAAGGTAAATCATGGAAAGGCTGACCATCTTCTGCTAATCCTTTTGGATTAATGAGTGAAACTGAAGTTGCCTGAGTTGATGCTTTACTAACAGCTGGAGGAGTGGAGTGAGTTGTGTCTGAAGGTGTCTGTGTATGGTAAATAGAAACAGGAGGAGGAGATGAGCTCCCATTAGCTATTAGGCTAATAATACCAGTTGTCCCAGGCCTGGGATGAGTGGGATCATACTTATGGAGGCGAGAGAGACCAGTAGAGGAGAGGGTATCTTTCTAATGGTCGGCAATACAATCACTAGTAACAATGGAGAGCATTTACTTGATAGGAAAGAGCCAAAACGACAACTATTAGTATCACAACTGAAGAGGCTACCACTAGATACCGTCTGGACATGTTGATCCCGTATACCATCCACACATGTACCGTATATAAAAGTATCTGTCTGTGTTACTCCGTATAACTGCATTGTATATTTCAGTTATCACTTAAAATTAATAATAATTAATAGAAACCAGTTAATTATGATAAAAAATAAATATTATCATTATTGACACCATTTTAGTTTAGGATACATCATACAATGATAGGAGAGAAATCTAAATAAAATAAAATAAATAAAATAAATAAAATAAAATAAATACACAAACTCCATGCCTTGTAGGATCAGCATTGTAAGAGAAGCGAGGGTTAGGTAAGTTTAATGAAGTGTTCCATCTGCCATGAAATCCAAACTCAAGCTTACCATAGCCAAAGTTAATCTATCAAGAGTAATAAATTAAGGTACAAATGTTATAACAATTGATATTATACCATTTTTAATGATTCTGATTTAGGTAGTTGGTCAAGTACTTCATAATGGGACCACATCTGTTTCTCTTCTGTTGGTTCATAGCCTAACACAGCAACTGAGAGAGAAAGAGGCAGCCATTTTATTTCATAAATACAAATTACAATTACCAATTACTATTGCTATGGTTACATCATCAATCCAATGAGCTTTCTCACAAGTTTTGATAAAGTTACGGCCTCTGATAGAAATAATAATAATAATAATAATAATAATAATAATAATAATAATAATAACAATAATAATAATAATAATAATAATCATAATAATACTAAAGTTTATAATATAATGTACCTGAAATATTTCTCAGTTTCTTTCATAATCTGTTTACTCAAGCAATAAACATTGCCAGTGTTGAATTTGTATATTTTTCTTTTCTAAATAAAGAGAAAGGGAGGGAGAGAGAGTGAAAGGTGCTCATTATGTTCACTAAAGAATCTTACTGCTTCAGGAAAGTTGCCACTATTTGAAGGATTCAACTACAATAAATTAAATCAATAGAGAATTATAATTATTTATTATTGATGATGTACCTTCCAGTATTCATGATGGCTCTTTCCAATATACCATGGCTTGTTAGGATCATATTTTATTAACATTCTCTTCAATTTCCAGACATTCATGTATTCATCATCATCAATATGACACATCCAGCTGGTAATTATCATTATTAACTACTCTTTCCCTCCAGATCCTCACCTGAAGTTCCTCCCAGCTTCAATTGCTTTATAAAACTGGTCATACTCCACCCCGCTCTTGCAGCATAAAGAATAACTATTAATTAACTAGTCAATTAATAAAACAACATAGCCAGACCCTTACTCAGTGTGGCCCAGCCCACAGTGAGGAGCAGTGTTTATCTTGTAACCTATGGAACATAGCAATAAGGGGAGGAGCAAGGGGAGGAGTTACCATGAGCTGCAAAAGCATCAGTCCAATTGGTGGCTTTATCTGTTGTAAAGGATATCTATTATTGTAATCGAATTAGGTGAATAATCAAATACATAATCACAATACTTGGTCTATAGGTACAGTTTGGGCCCATGTCAGAAAGACAGTTTGCTGCCTGTAAGCATTGAGTGAAGAAGTTTTGACAGAAATGAAAATATCACTGATATCAACAGGAATGAGTATCTTCTCAGGTACTCTATGACCCACTAACTTCATGTCAGATAATGGAGACACACCTAAACTGTATTCTATGAATCCTGAGAGAGAGAGAGAGAGAGAGAGAGAGAGAGAGAGAGAGAGAGAGAGAGGGAGAGAGAGGGAGAGAGAGAGAGAGAGAGAGGGAGAGAGAGAGAGAGAGAGGGAGAGAGAGAGAGAGAGAGAGAGAGAGGGAGAGAGGGAGAGAGGGAGAGAGAGAGAGAGAGAGAGAGAGAGAGAGAGAGAGAGAGAGAGAGATGAGGTAAGCTCAGGTAACAGCTACTCAATTAATAATAGTTTATTGTGGTGAGTCTGAGGAAGCCCCACATAAACAACACAAGTATAAGTAACACTGTTTGATCGTATGTACATGTACGTCAACCCTATTTATCCATGTGACAAATTTTTTATGGAAAACATTATTATCATGAAAGACCTTACGTTTTCCAAAGTAACTATACTGTTTTAAAAAGCTAAAGTAAAAAAGTCCTGTCAATTTTAATATGGTGAATTGTCACTTCATTTTGTTAATAATTAGCACTTCACAGGCTCACAGTGGAAAGAACAATTAATAATATAATTTAAAGAGGACCTGATTCATTGAGTGTTCTTGGATCAATATACGGGATATCTGATGGAGACTGAACTGATGAAGTATGACTTGTGGGAGTGGAACCAGCTGGAGTAGTGATGGGGCTGGAAACTGATGATGGATTCTCATTATCATTAGTATTGACTGTTGGTTGAACGGTGGTAGTTAGATTAGCAGCTGGTGGCCTGTCAGTAGCCAGTGTCATTATGTGAGGCACTCTGAGATAAGTAATATTCCTTTTCACAACATTATTAGTACCTAAAATGAAGGATAATGAAGTTTAAACAAGTTAAATTGATATTTTTCTACCTGTTTCATAAAAAATAACTAGCAGCAGCAGAGCCAGTCCAATCCCCACTACTATATACACTTTAGCTCGAGACATTTTAAATGGAATGTGCTCGAGACAGTCGAGAGATTAAAAGGAGGCCATAATAAAACACCGGGAGTATCACGTGATGTTAAGGGGAGTGCTTAAGCTCACGTGATTTATTGACCACACCCTGTACGTCATAACTCGTTGCTAGGTGAGTCACGTGATTTGTTAGTTTTGGCCATTATTCAGGCATACCACGAGGTGGTTCTTCATTCCTTTACAGTCTCCTGTTAGTCTAATCCTCCTCCTTCCTTGCAAGGCAATGGCTTTTGCTGGTCAGTTGTTTGTTGGTCCTCTTCGCCGTTCAGTTTGGAGTCCTGCTCGGAGGTTACTTGTTACTACTCCAATTAACGCCCTCTCCTGCACCCCAGCCACTCATCAGCTAAAGTGCATTAATAAATATTATTTATTTTGTCTGTTGTTTGTTTGTTTATTGTTTGGTGGGACGTATTGCATGCAGTAATAATAATGGGTAAAGTGCTGTATAGCTGAAATTTTGGAGGGGGAAATTTTGTTGTTTTGAAAGCCGTTCCAGTAAAACTAACCTTTAAAGCTATGATGTACATGCTCAATGGCATGTAGACACAAATTTGCCGAATTAAGATCTGCCAAACATAAATTGAGAAAAACTCACCTCCTCCAAAGTTACTCTTCATTATTGACTATTGTGATCATATTCCTTTAGTGTGTGGAGCCCGGCAATGTCCACTGGCTCTATTGTCGCTAGAAGATCAGCAGCGACTGATGCAGCAGCTGAACTCATGAGTGCGGCTAAGTTTGTAGGAGCAGGAGCTGCCACTGTTGGTGCTGGTGGGAGTGGGGCCGGTATTGGGTCAGTCTTTGGTAGCTTTATGATTGCGTATTCTCGGAACCCGTCACTAAAGAACCAGCTCTTCACCTATTGTATCCTAGGGTTTGCCTTGTCAGAGGCCATGGGTCTATTCTGTCTTATGATGGCCTTCATGATTCTCTTTGCTCTTTAGAAAGAGGAGGCAACAAAGTGATGCTGTTTAGTAGAAAAACTTATTATTAATACATTGCACGAACACTGTGTTTAGGTTATTATAATTATTATAATTAGTAGTATTATTATTCTATTGTTATTATTAATAATTATTATTGTAATCAAGCGTGTTTTGTTGTTTAAAATAGTGAGGCCCATCCAGTCAATAGATGTTCAATTGTATTAATGAAAAGACAATGTCACATTCAATGGCTCGATTTAGCGGGTGTGGTTATTAAGACTTGGCCACACCCATTAAAGGGTGTGGCTGAGCGTCAAGAGAACATTCTGTACAGAAATGGCAGTAGATCTGTCCCTCTTTCCTGCTGCTAGTAAGAGGAGACGAAAGAGGCCAATAGCCAGAGCTGTTCACAAGTTTGTTGGAGTTTCAGAAGAAGAGCTGTCCTTCTCTCCAGGAGAAAGCATCCTGCTAATAAAGAGAGTGGACGAGAACTGGCTGGAGGGAGAGTTGGACGGGAGAATAGGAATCTTCCCAAAGAACAGGGTCAAGGTTGAAGTGGGGAGTCCTTCCCTTTCCTCTGAGAGTGCCCTCGCTCGTTCAGGCAGAGCCTGTGCTGTAGCACTCAACGACTTCCCGGGGGATTGCCCGGGAGACCTACCCTTGCTACAGGGACAGATCGTCGAGTTGCTAGGCAACATAGGATCAGGGTGGAGCCGAGGAAAGATAGACGAATCCATTGGAATATTCCCAACATCATTCGTAGAGATACTCCAGCCACTGGCAAGGGGACACTATAAGATTAAAGAGGAAGAAGGTGTGGCTAAGGAAGAGGGTGGGGCTAAAGAAGGCGATGATAATGGTTTGATGAAAGAAGAGGGCGGAGCTAGTGACAGTGTAGTTATTAAACCGATACCAAAGCCACGGTCAGTTAGACCAGTCCCTAAGCCGAGGGCTGGTACTGCAACACTACCACGATCATTCAAGCCTAGCAGTGAAGCGATTGATAGTGGGCGGGGCTTAAGTAATGGACTCCACCCACTTCCTCGGTTTAGTAACATATCAGAATATGAGGAGCAATTACTGGGACTTCAGTCCTCACTTGAAACGGAAGAAAAAATGATACAAAGTGCTCAGAGATTACTAAAGGTAATTAATAATAATAATAATAAATTAATTATTATTAATTAATTAATCATTAGGTTTGTCAAAGTGAGGAGAAAAGAGAAAAATTAGAGAAAACTTTAGAAAACCGTCAAAATAAAGTTGACGAAATTAATGAACAGATAAACCTCCTTGAATGTAAGTAAACTCTTCACACTATTGATAACACTGACACCTCCTCTTCTCCCCCTCCCTCTCTCTTCCTGTAGTTCATAGAGCAGATATCATTGCTGATCATCAAATCAGATCAGCTCCTGCCACACCCCCAATACCTCGTTCAATAACCACACCCCCTAAAGACCCATCAGACCAGAGGGAGAGGGTCACCAATGAATTAATAAACACTGAGCAGGAGTACCATAAGGAACTGACTGCCTTTTGTAGCAAAGTATTACCAGCTTTTAAACAAGTAACAGGAACTACAGTAATATTTAATATTTATTTATTTATTTATTTATATTTAGTGGAGAGAAGTACCATGGAGTGAATTATTTTCAAATCTTGAGGAGGTCGTTCTTGTGTCTGGTAAGATGGTTACTGGTCTATTGGCGGACAAGAGAGAGTCACTGGACGTTGGTGCTCTATTTAAAGAACTGGCCCCGGAACTGAGAGACAAATATGGAGTTTATTGTCGGAATCATGACCACGCCTCCCAACTACTGGAGAAGGTATTAGTATATTTATTAAATGATAACTAGTGCCACACCTCCTCTACTAGCTCTATGAAGATAAGGAAACAGTAATGAAGATAAAGACTATGATGGACTTGGGAAAGTCAGTTTTATTTGTTTGTTTATTTATTATTTTGTGCAGACCCGAAGTCACGTCATGGGATCTCCATACATTTCTCATAAAACCGGTCCAACGGGTTTTAAAGTATCCGCTGTTGCTAGGGAAACTCCTTGAGTACATGCCCCCTGACGACAGCAGACACAAAATATTAATGAGCTCACTAAAACTTTCATCTCAAGTAGCTCAGGACATCAACGAAATTAAGAGAAGAAAGGATCTACGTAATTAATAACTATCAATTAATTAATAATTAATTAATATTCATAGTTGATAGATACACTGGGTCAGGTCGAGACGAGAGAAGACTCAACCTCGGGACCATGAGGAAGAAAGTGAGACGATTTCGTCAAACTATCACACAAAAAACAGGATTAAGATCAGCTGTAAGCCACACCCCCACACTAATTAATTAATATTCTCTTACATTAGACAATAGATGGGGAGTATTCGAACCAAGAGAATATTGTAATGAATATTGAAGGAGCCGTACGATCATTAATTAATAATATTAATGGGTTTATCGAGGAAGGAGAAGTTAGCAATATTAGTATTAATCATTAATAATTAATTAACTAATTATTAGAATTATATCAGTCATCGTGAATCACTGACTGAGTATATGAGCGACTTCTCTGGCCAATCAGAATCACTGAATAAGGAAAAGAGACACTTTGAGGAAATGAAGAAAAAATGGAAAAATCATGTAAGAACAAGCTACTCCCCTTGCTCCTCCCACTCTATTAATTAATAACTATTGTTGTTATTATTATTATTATTATTATTATTATTGTTATTATTAGGTGTCAGTCTTGCGTAATGAGGTCCTTGGTTCATTATCAGTGTTATTAGGATTATTCAACGACCCGTTGTTATTGATGAATAAAAGACGTGACAAACTGTTGGACTATGACTCACTCCAGTATGATATGGAGAGGTGCTCTGAGCCTGATAAACTACAGCAGCTGAGGGAAGACGTCACTCTAGCCAAAAGGTAGAACATTTATCGATTGTACTTGTAAATTATAAAATATTGAAAATAACTTTTTAAAAAGCAATTTCAAACTATTAATGAGCAGTATTTCCCACAAAGCACATGCTAAGTGAGCTAAACAGCATGAGCTTCATGAGCTGACAAGCACTACAATACACTACATGGCATTTGGAGCAACTTTTAAAATTCATGAAAAAACTAATTTTGATTGAAATCAGTTCAAAATTTTTGTACATCATAAGAAAGTGTATATGTATGGCTCTTATGACTCAGTTTAGTCATTCCACTGTTTCCTTAGAACATATGAAGCTCTTAATACTCAACTTATTGAAGACCTTCCTCTATTCTCGGATAAAGCTCTTCAAGGATTGAGACTGATCCTAGTCTCTTACTTAGAGAAGAGCCTCTCCTTTCATGAAAACATGTCAGCCATCCTATCAGGTGGACAAGAAGAAGCTGCCGCTACTACAGAGGAAGACATCATGAGGGTACACAAGGAAGAGCTAAAGGATCTCTTGGAGAACCTCTGTACACTATCAGTCATACCTTCCTCCCTCTCTCTCTCCTTTGGCATCGTTGTCACTAGCAACAGGTCACCACGGTTACCATCATCAAGGTTGACTGATGACGTGTTGCTACGGAAACCAATCAAAGGAAGGCGTGTCTCTATGCCTAGTTCATTGAGAGGGGCATTAAATAGAAGATCACAATCGCCAATATATGAGGAAATATCTGATGATGTCAAAGTATGTGTTGATGTTTATTGTTTTGTTTGTTGTTTACTTGTTTACTTGTTCTGATAGGCTAGTGTCTTATCAAAGAGTGTCTCTGTTGATCTGTTGTCCCCTCCCAGTGTTAATGAATATGACCTTCCTCCTCTTGAAGATGATGACGTAACCACACCCACTAATAATGAGACCACACCCATTGATGGTGAAGCCACACCCACTCGTACAGAGACTCCTGATTATGAAATACCTCCTGATGCTCTACTTCTGACTCCGCCCATCTCCCCCTCTCCCCCTCCCCTCTCTCCTGAGGACTCCCCCCCTCCTGCTGGATCAGTGTTAATTGTCTTGTATGATTTCGTTGCTGAATCTGATCTTGAGATCTCAGTATCAGCTGGTGATTGCGTTAAGCTGATTGCCCCTAATGATACTGATGGGTGTGACCAATGGTGGTTAGTTGAGGTACCCTCTACTGGTGGGAGGGGCTACGTTCCTTTTAACTTTTTTGAAATATCAAACTAATCTCTTAATGTCTTTTTTATTTCTCATTTTTGCTGTCCTTTTGCTTACTTTAATTGAAACTATTATATGGGCTGTGCCCATGAATTCTGAATAAAACAAGAGAATGTGTTCCTCTTAGTAAGACTAGTACTTGCCATTTATAGCTAAGAGACAGTCTATAGCTAAAGGAAACGACTGAAACAAAAAATTGTAAATCCAATCCACCATGTCCCACGTGGTTAGGATAACCGGACGTGACCACTCCGTTTACTTCAACCATGTGGTGTGAGTGGGTGTGATCAATGTAAAGTAGGCGTGGCTCTGTATTGAAACTGCAAATTTTGCAAGAAAAAGAGTGATGAATATTCTGAGGATTGTTAAAAGGAAGAGATTGCTGCTAGTCTTAGTTCTGATTAGCGTCCTACTCTTCATTGGAGGTACAATTATTGATGTTATGATGAGTATCTGAAGGTGAATATTCATTCATTTCAGGGATTAAGTTTCAGAATGTCCCCTCCTATTTGTCAAAGGTTCATGTTGGCGGGAAAGTAAATGAGTTCTTTTATAATTTATTGCACAAAGACCACTGCCCAAACACCCTGCTACCAATGAAGACAGACCTATTGATTATAGGTAGGTAATTAATGAATAGATCTATTCATCATTATTATTATTATTATTATTATTATTATTATTATTATTATTATTATTATTATTAGGTGGTATGAGTCAGATTGGATCAAGATTAGCTTATCATCATGTCAGTGATAAATCATTAGGTAACGTCAGTCTCCTAGTCACTGAGGATATATTGAACGTTAATCGTGTTGGCATCAAGTGGTATCGATGGACTAAGTTAAATGCGTTAGGATTAACATGCTCAGTATATTCGTATGATTCCGTTCAATCCATGAGCAATATCTTGAATAAGCATCAACCAAGAAAGATAGTTTACATCCCAACTGGGCTCTATGATGTTGATAAAGATGAAAAAATATGGACGTCGACTAGTTATTACAAATTAATTACAAACACACTGTCAATTATAGAAGCCATTAAAGTTAGAAATGGTGTATCACTTGTAATTGTGTCGCCAAAAATTAAAGATACAAACAATAGTAGCAGCAACATCAGTGGAAGGTGGTCTGTTGTCTTTAAGACTATCATTAAAAGGTTCATAGCAATTAGTTCAATTCATAACATCAAAGTATTCACTACAGACCCAGTACTGTATGGCCCATGGCAGGACTCAAGCCAAATTGGTGACACAAACGAAATCAATTATGTTGATAACATTGTGTCAAGATTAATGAGTATTCTTTATGAAGATCGTGTTAGTTTGACATTAACTCAAATCAAATCAATTGAGATCACTAACAGGTGGATTAGTGATTTCAAACGAGAGCAAGAATCAATGAACGTTAAAGATGTAGTGTCAGGGGCTACACTGATGTTCAGTTATTGCTACCATTGCTTCTTCTTTTCAAATAATATGGATTACATCGAGGATTGGTTTCTGAGTGCGGTGAAATATGATCTTAACGTTTTATTGATTCATAACACCTTCAATTCTGATCTTGAATCAAAATTAAAATTAGCTCATAATCGGACAGAGTTTCTCAAAGCTGACTGCGTCAATACCAAAGCTGCAACCGATCAAAGGTTCTACATACTCTATGAATATTTGTTGACTCATCCTGAGATCAAGCGGATAGTATTCACTGATCAAAGAGATGTGAGATTTCTCAATGATCCATTTCATATAATGAATGGAATCAGCAATGATATGTTGTATGTAGGTTCAGATGATGATCGTTGTATCAATTCAATTGATGATGGTTTCATTAAGAAGCAGTTGAAGTCTTGTTTTCCTGGCTACTCTAAAAGAAGAGAATTGCTTGGTTTGAGTGGTTGCTTCAACAGTGGAGTGTTAGGGGGATCAAGGATCACCATGTTAACGCTGTTATCTCATATGATGCTGATATTTGAATCAACTGATTATCGTGTTTGTGATATGATATCTCTCTCAATACCAGCTCACGGTCCACTTTATGATATTGTATTTACCCTCTATCCTTTCAACAGTGGGTTTGACTCTAAAACTGAGGGACCTTTTGGACTAGCAATTAAACACAAAATCAGCATGTATTAAATTTAATACTAGTAGAGTGTATAATAATCATTTTCTTTACAATTTCAGCATAATTAATTAATTATGATACTTTTGATTCAATTCGCAATGAAATTAATTTAAATTTTAGCCACACCTGTTTTATGAGTTTCCATGGTAATAGGTTTGCAAACAAGATGGCGTCATCCCGTGTACCTGATAACTTGCCAGCATATAATCCAAACAAGTCCACACTAGCATTCGGGGACAGAGCCCTACCAAAGATAGTGAGTGTTGGTTATAATTAATGGCAGCCATTACTCTCTTGCCTCATCGCTAGAGGAGGGAGCTCTCATCAGGTGATGTGGAGGTGATCCAACAAGCACTGCTCCTCCTAAATGACCTACTACACAAACCAGAGAATATAACATCAGCTGTGAGAGAAGGTAAGGGCATATCAATAGTAATGCTTTTTATTGTATTACTCAGGATTAGTCAATAGTCTCTCTTTATTGTTGATTTCTGATGACTCGGTGATTAAGTATAGATCAGGGTCTTGTCTACAGCTGATTGCTGAGCATGCTTTAGGAAGACAAGCATTCCTCAAACTGAACATCATCAATTCCCTCTCTAGACTGGTAAGGTATCATCTCTCACTGTTAAGAGGTTCTTATTCTTTCAGTTTGTAGATCCAGAGCCTTTGGTTAGACTCCACTCTCATTTAGCTGTTGAAATGTGTGGAAGAACCAAAGAGGGTGTGCAAGGACTGCTGGACAATGGACTGATACCAATACTGGTGGAGAGATTCATCAGTGAACAACAAATTGAACTTAAAGTGAACAACAACGGTCAACAATAGCAGTGTTTATACATGTACAGGTAGCATCACTAGAGTCATTGCATTGGTGCCTAATGGCAGACCCAGTTCCTGGTCTAGAGTGCAGGGCTATTGAGAGACTCCAGCCATCACTGACTGCTGAAGTAGCTGATGTGAAATGGAGGATAGCAAGGTGTCTCTATGACCTTACAGTACCTCACTCAGGAAAGAGAACTGCCTGTGACTGTGGATTAGTCAAAGACCTTGTACCATTGCTCGCTGATGATCACCATCTTGTTAAGACTCATGCAGCATCTGTACTGATGAGGTACACATGTATTTCATTCATTTATTCTTATTATTTTATTCATTTATTTCTTTGTGTATTTATATATATATTTATTTATTTATTCATACAGTATAGCAGTTATTACAGAGGGTAAGTATGCCTTGCTCAATGAAGAAGGTTTGGATAAGTTGGTATCATTATTAGCTGATACTACACCAGCTGTGAGGCTCAATGCAGTTAAAGTAATTTTGAAATTTCTTATTACAATATTTTTAATTGATTTTTAATAACTTCAGGCCCTCACTTTACTAGCAGAAGCTCCAAGTGGCAAAGAGAAATTAATGAAATCATTAAATGAAGTAAAAAATGAGAATATAACTATTATGTACATGTACATTTCCTTATTATACTAGTACATACTGTGTGTATAAGTACACGTACACATGTTCTTTTCTTTAGGTAACTGAATTGGAAGGTGATTCTGATGATGTCATTGCTAAAGCTGCAGCAACAGCAAAAAAAACAATAACTTGGTTACCATGACAATCATTACTAGTTAAAGCATTCGATTTAATTATTTTGAGAGAGGGATTACAATAATCAATGATATTTAAACAAGCACAAATCACAACAGCAATAAAGTAATAACAATGATAATAATGATAAGTGATAATCAACTTTTCAAACAGCTATAAACATTAAGAGGATAAATGAGTTTGATCAGTGTCTTATATAAATGCTCTATACATTGAGCCAGCTACACTATAACAGGGCACAACGGTGGCATATTACCTGCTCTTAAACCTTCAACGTAACCACTAAAAATCTTGCCAGCCATAGAGACTCGCATTCCAATGTTAACAGGTGCATCTGCCACTGCCTGGATAATTTCTGCCCATTTGGTATCATCAATAATGCACTCAAAGTGATCAACAGTAACCAACAGTTTAGACACGTGTGGTCTAGAGAGAATGACAGAGAGCCATCCTTTCCTTGTAATGCTCCTTCCACTGCAGTTGTGAGTGAAATTTCCATTGTCAATAGTGACACTTCCTTCATCTAACTGTATATCAAGCATATGACCATCTTTACTCATGTGTATAACACTCCCTGGTCTCTCCATCCATATTCTAAATGATAAGCTTTCATATTTTGAGAGGACATTGGGCAAAAGTGACAAGTAGTCGGAGCCATTGCCAGGTAAGTATCTAAGCGGAGAAGCACTAAGAGGAAAATCTTCAAAGTACTGGTACACCTGGAGACCTTGCTGTAGCACTTCCACTGACCCTTCGTAGGGGAAAAGCTCTGAAGTACCTCGCCCAAGACACACTCTCTCGCTGGAGTTTTCAGTAAATTCATTTGTGAGGATTGTCTTGGGACTTCCGATACTTGGTGTTAGAATAATGTTAACTGTCATCTTGTTTCTAAGGATTGAGATCTGATAATAGGTCCCACTGATTAGTGTGTCATTAAACTTGAGTAAGCTGATAATGGAGGTGCTCCAGCTGTAGACAGCAAAATGAAGCAGAGAGTCCTTTACGTAAAGAGATGCAGATCTTTGATGGGGAGAGTCAGGATTATAAAATGTGAGGAGGACACCATTATGAGGATACGGAGGCTTGAGTCCAAGATAAAGGTAAGATGAAATGAGAGGTTCATAATATGAATAAGTGTCGTAGCAGCGATAATTTGTGCCATCCAAGGAAACTGGCCCTTTTGTGATATCTAAAACAAAAAAACACATTCACATTTATCAGAACCTAGTGTCTATGCACACAAGACAGGTGCTATGGCTCATGCAGGACAAACAATCCACAGATAATGTATAGAATCAGAACATAATGGCTGTCTAAACTAAAGTGAATTTACTTTGTAGACATGCCATATCTAATGAGATGCAGGAACACATCCCTACTCCATTAGACCAGTCATTGATACACGCCTCTCCTCCACTGCAGGATTGATCCTCACACGGTTCTGTACACCCATGACTAGTTTTATTCTGGGATCTTGGTTTTTCATAGGATGGTAAACTAGGCTTTCCGGCTTTACCATCCCTAATAAGTACGTCTTTAATACAGCCTATGAAAGACCCTGGACTGAGTTTGATGTAAAGTGGAATACCTCCAACATAAAGTCGACCATTAGTCATCAGTCTATAATGTTTAGAGGCGCCGCTGTATAGGCTTATTTCCAATTTTGTATCAATCAATACTTTTATTCTGCTAGTTCGATGTGTGAGTACGAGATGGTGCCATTGGTCATCATTAAATAGGCCAGTACCAGTACCTTGCATCAGAGGACCAATGTCATTCGGCCTATGATAGAGTCTTGCTGAACAACCAATCCTACCATTCTGTAGAGCAACGTGAACCGGGCCATAATCGCCAGCTGTGTAGATGAGGGTAGCATTCTGTAGAGAAGTTTTGAAGCTAAACTCTATTCTTCCCAGTGAGTTAGCAACCCACTGTCCATAGCCTAAGTAAGCGTTTCCCGAGTGGAACGTGTGGTTGAGCCCTTTATCTGAAGTATATCTTTCTGCTGATGCCAGTTGTGTAGCGGCCAACAGAAATAAGATAAAGAAGTTCATTACATCAAGAAAGCAGAAGCTCGAAAAGAGAAAAACGTGTTCATTTAGATAATCTATCACGCCTCTTGATAGTAGTACAAGTAGTCATGCACGTGTTTTGGTATTTTGATTGAAAATACTTTTAAAATTGGAAAGAGAGAGAGAGAGGGAGAGATTATAATAATCAAAATAAATCAATGATATTTAAACAGGGACAAATCACAACAGCAATAATAATAACAATAATAACAATGATAACAATAATAACAATGATAACAATGATAATTAGATACTGGATAAATCTCTAATTTCGTCTCTTAACTCTTTCTATAAAAGAAACACAATAATAATAATAATTATAATAAATTATTATTAATCTTATAATCATTGTTAGTGCTTACTATTTCTGAGCTCATTTCCAGCACTCTTGTTTCTAAACTCAAAGTGCCTTCATCTTTAGCATTAGTCTACAATAATGATAATAATGATAATAATAATAATAGTAATAATAATAATAATAATAAGAAGAAGAAGAAGAAGAAGAAGAAGAAGAAGAAGAAGAAGAAGAAGAATTAATACTTTGTTTTCCATTGATTTAAGTTGCAGTTGCTGATTCAGTAACTGCATTTCAAGCAGCAGCTGTTTTTCTCTTATTTTCAATTCGTTGATCCTGGTGTCAGCTATCAGCTTTGCCGCCTGCAATAATGTCTGGACGTAGGATTGAGTCCCTTCCTGTTGCTCTTCCTGTTGCTATGGCAACTTAACACATGTAAACTTGATATCACGTTACTTTAGCAGTGGGTGTGTCCTCCTTTCTCCTCAGCTCTCTCTCTCCTCCAAGAGTTCGTCCTGTACCAGTGAACGCCTTCACACCAGAGGAGCTTGAACGATTGACTAGCCACTTAGGATCGGTGACCCCACCCACTAATAATAATAATAATAATAATAATAATAATAAAGTTAATTAACTAGTACATTTACATGTACCGTGTTCCTGAGTCTGCTCTGCTTCCTTTGCTGAGGCTAGCAGTGCCAGTCTCTTTTGCTTCATTGAGAGAGGACCAGCTGGGACATGATCATCACCCAAACACACCTCCAGACTTTCACTCGACGCATTATATCTGCACAAAAATAAACAACAACAACAACAACAATAAACAACAGCAGTAGGAACAACTAGCAACAATATAGTACCTAAATGTAACACTGGGTATTTCAGCAAACTGGGCGTGACTGTGGTCCTTGATATTCCCTCCATTAGCTCTCATTAGTTCTTCGTAGCAGTGTCCTCCTTTTCTGAATAAATAAGGATAGCACTCTATCAGACCAAAACTGTCTATATCCTTCACTAGAGCTGAACTGGATTCATGCTTAATATCACCTAATTAATAATCAATTAATAATAATCAATTAATTATTAATAATCAATTAATTAATAATAATCAATTAATTTTCACCTTTTTTCTCTCTCTCTGGTGGCTGTATGGAAGGATATTGTGGGATATCAGAGGCCCCACCCTTAGCACCACCCACCCTCTCCACACTGACCCTCTCCCCATGAGACAGTGGTAGGGGGGCCCTCGGGTCCTCAGGGGCTAAGAGTTCTTTAGGGGGGAAACCCCAACGGAGCTTTTGCTGTGAGAGTGGTATACCCAGTTCTTTCTCAATCATAATCTGGAAGTCATGGAACGTGTCCTCCATTTTTAAAGTTATATTTGAGTTCTTTCCTTCGGACGAAGTGACTCTTATTCGCTTGTCTTTAATTAATTGAGTGGGCGGTTTACTAGTTGGAGATATCTATCAATAATAATTATCAATTAATTATTTTTGATAGATTAATTACTTTCTGAGGGGGTGTGATTGATGATAGTTCATTAGCCGAAGGTGATGGGTTGGTCTTTCGTCCTCCTTGTTTTGCTGAGTCAGGATTATTACCAGCAGCAGCAGCAGCAGCTGTCGTTGTCATAAGTTGTTGTAATTTGGCGTCGACTTTTCTTTTCATTTTTCTCTCAGTCTCACTCACTCCGAGTTCCTCTTTATGAAGGACTTTAGTGTGTCTGTTCATCATTCCTGTGACTATGGTCTTTGTAATCTTAGGGCTCTCATCTTCTATTGACAAATCATCTAACAATTAATAATAAATAATAATAATTAATAATAATAATTAATAATAATAATTAATAATAATAATAAAGAATGGTAATATCTGAGACTATGGCACAGTCCTCAGTAGTGTAGTACAGGGACTTCGGTCAAATTCCACTAAAATTGACTAAGAGAGAAATCTTCATTTTTATTACATTTTCTGATACATATTGATGTACTTATGCTGTGTAGAAAGTTTGAGCTGATTCCGACTTCAATTTTTTGAGTTACAGCCATTTTAAGAAACGTCAAAAATCTGAAAAATACCCAAGGCTATAGCCCATGGTTTTTTCCAAAAAATGGCTCCGAAATCACCCCCAATTTTTATTAAATTTTCCGATACATATTGATGCCCTTATGCTGTGTAGAAAGTTTGAGCTGATTCCGACTTCAATTTTTTGAGTTACGGCCATTTTAAGAAAACGCCAAAAATCTAAAAAATACCCAAGGCTATAGCCCATGGTTTTTTCCAAAAAATGGCTCCGAAATCAACCCAAATTTTTATTACATTTTCCGATACATATTGATGCCCTTATGCTGTGTAGAAAGTTTCAGCTGATTCCAACTTCAATTTTTTGAGTTACGGCCATTTTAAGAAACGTCAAAAATCTGAAAAATACCCAAGGCTATAGCCCATGGTTTTTTCCAAAAAATGGCTCCGAAATCAACCCAAATTTTTATTACATTTTCCGATACATATTGATGCCCTTATGCTGTGTAGAAAGTTTCAGCTGATTCCGACTTCAATTTTTTGAGTTACAGCCATTTTAAGAAACGTCAAAAATCTGAAAAATATCCAAGGCTATAGCCCATGGTTTTTTCCAAAAAATGGCTCCGAAATCAACCCAATTTTTTATTACATTTTCTGATACATATTGATGCCCTTATGCTGTGTAGAAAATTTGAGCTGATTCCGACTTCATTTTTTCAAGTTACGGCCATTTTTAAAAACGTCAAAAATCTGAAAAATACCCAAGGCTATAGCCCATGGTTTTTTCCAAAAAATGGCTCCGAAATCAACCCAAATTTTTATTACATTTCCTGATACATATTGATGCCCTTATGCTGTGTAGAAAATTTGAGCTGATTCCGACTTCAATTTTTCAAGTTACGGCCATTTTTAAAAACGTCAAAAATCTGAAAAATGCCCAAGGCTATAGCCCATGGTTTTTTCCAAAAAATGGCTCCGAAATCAACCCAAATTTTTATTACATTTTCTGATACATATTGATGTCCTTATGCTGTGTAGAAAGTTTGAGCTGATTCCGACTTCAATTTTTCAAGTTACGGCCATTTTAAGAAAACGTTAAAAATCTGAAAAATACCCAAGGCTATAGTCCATGATTTTTGATCAAGTTTCACCAAAAATGACTAGGAGAGAATTCTCCATTTTAATAATTGTTCCTGATACATATACATGTACTTATGTTGTGTAGAAAGTTTGAGCTGATTCTGATCAAAAATGGATTTTTAATAAATTTTTAAAGTTGCCCCATTTGCTATAGTCAAAAAAAAATTATTTTAACTAACTATATTCATGTTCTGTTTCCATGGCGTCAGTACTTGAAGCCCCTCCCTCTTTCTCTTTCTTCTCAGTGGCAAATACAATCATGTCCACTACTTGTTGGACCAGCTGTTCACTCCCAAACTCCCCGGGGAAATGTTCCGCCACAGTCTACAGGTGGGCATTAAATAGAACTCTATTAATACTACTAATACTTGATATGCAACTTCATAAATATTTGAATTCAGCGAGGGGTCTTTTTCATACTGGAACCAGTACACAATAACAGTCTTGGTCACTCCCTTCCACGTCAGCGATATCTTGATACTAAAGGATCAGTCGTTAATTATACTTTATGCATGTAATTCTGGAGGACAATTTTGAAAATTTTGGTTTTTTTGATAAAGCCATTCGTCAAAATAAAAGAAGCCATTTTGAATGATAATGACCATATGCTTGATGGCACATGGTCAGATATTCATCAAATTAAAACTTTCCAATCACAAAAATTTAGCAAAACTTTCCTCAGTCCAGAACTAGAGCAGGTATATGATTAGAAGGGGCACTCACGGTTGGGGCATGTTATCATACTCCTTTCCATTCCAGTAATGCTTGAACCCGCAGCACCGACTGTATAATGGGTCTGCCCTGTTACCTGTCCTGTCGCCATTCTCAAATAATATAGTACCGTCACCTAGCAACCGCCTAGCAGTCTGCCCACACTGGAAGCAATCCACCTAATCATGGGATATCAAAGTGGGTGTGGCTTGTAATTAATCAAAGTGGGTGTGGCTTACATCAATAGGAATAAGTGCGTTAATCGCGGCAGAGTATTCAGCTGTTATCCTGTAAATAGGAAAAGAATATTTCTCTCCGTCTTCCAGTGAAAATTCACTACAAGTTGTTTCATATAAAGCACCATCTGGACGCAATAACTCCTAAATAATAATAATAATAATAATAATAATAATAATAATAATAATAATAATAATAATAATAATAATAATAATAATACTAATAATAATAATAACAGTCAATGGCTCACTCTTGGTATGTTGGCTATTGCTGAGCACATTAAACAACGAAAGAGTCTCTTCTCTTCTGATGATAATTTGGTTTCCATGGTAACTGTTTTAAGAGACACACCCACATAGCCAGCTTTACGGTAAACGTGTTCATTGAAGTCAGCAACAAGAGAAGGACTCACAGAGTACCTCTCAAGGAACAGCTGGTCCATGCAAGACACAAGTTTCTGAATATAAGCCTCTTGAAGCGGCTTCCCTCGGGCAAGAACAATAGAACCGTCATCTTCCAGTGAGACATACTGCAGCAGAGTCTCCTCTGGTTCACACCACACCTGGGGAGAAGGAACAATGAGCGGATACAATAATAGCTGTTAGGACACACATTAGGTCTGAAGTGGGAGGGGAGTCTTGGTAAGGGTTTATCTTTAATCGGGACCAGTGGGACAAAGTGGTTGTAGCCTGAATTACTCCAGGCAATAGTGATAGGAGAGTTGAGGAGGGTTGAACCCGGAGAAAGACACTCCTCTCGTTTATAAAAAGACGGTAAAAATATACAGGAATACTCAGAATCACTGGCTATACCTGGGGTGGGCAATAATTAGGATAAACGTGCATTAATTAGAGTAATAAATACCGGTATTTCCATCCAGTACTATGATTGGTCGTCTGAGGACGTTGGCCAGTGCAAATATGTGAACATTTCTGAGTCCAATTGAGACCCCGGGGGGCGGCTCATAGTCAGGATCAGCCTCTGATATGATCTCAGCCCAATCCTCGTCATAAGAAAAACCCTTCAACTTACTAACATACCAGTCATGATGGGACTTGAGGTGACTCTGAAATATAACACACAAATCAATAATGTTAGTATTTTTTAAAACGGCCATATACATGTACATACATATGCTGGTATTTCAGTTCAAATCAATAAAAATTTGGGGTCAATTTTAAAATAAAACCACAGGCTACAGTCAATGCTTTTTTCAAACATTACTAGTTTTACTACACAAAATGAATAAAATAAAAAAGGTCCGGTCCATACTTGCATGTTGGTCCTAAGAGCATGCCAGAACAACTCTCGTCCGACCAGGCACCTTGATATAGCATGGACCAGGCAGTGTCCATCACCATCAGCATGTATCGGTACTAGACATTTCCGTCCTCCATTGAAAGTTGATAATTCATCCAATGTCTTCTTCAGGTAACGTAATGAACCGGATTTATCCTAAATATAATAATAATAATAATAATAATAATAATAATAATAATAATAATAATAATAATAATAATAATAATAATAATAATAACCAATTAATAAAATTAATGAAATTTGCTGCTATACAGTATCCCAACTGATAAGCAGTACAATAGCTGCTAGAGTCAACTAGTCTTCATAAAGGCCATCATTATCAGAAGATCTTGCTCTGTTAGCTTTTTGAAAGAAGAATTATCAGTTTGGGTGCAAGACCACACGTTCTTAGGTAAACTATGATGTACATGTACACAAATCATCATAAAACTTCATTTTGGTATGCCATTGGGTTTATAGGGAGAACCCAGTTCTCAGGGTTCCCAAGGGCTGAGAGACCCAAGACCTGAGATCCTGTGATGGCATTGGGTGACTAAGAACCTGTGAAAGTCTCATCCTTATCCGCCATTCCTATAAAAAGTTATTCCAGTTCTTCTTGGGTCAAACTCAGTTGGGATATACATGTCATGTAGCTTTCTTAATTAACTAATCAACTGATTACCTCTCCATATCCCTTGATATCAAGCATTGACTCCTCAATAGCAAAGGCTCTGCTCCCGAGCTTAGAGCAGTCAAACACCTCACCAAGACCAAGGTCCTTCAGGAGACAGGGCCTGTCGTTCCTGTCCTTTCCGTGTGTCGTCAGTAAATGAGACAGCAGCTTACACTGATAGTTGGATATCCCATTGACCTGATCAAAAATAATAATTAATAATAATATTAATAATAGATCATTACATGGGCATTACTTTAACTAATTCAGCTGTTTTTTTCCCGCCAAACAACGACTTCATTTCAGTGAAAGACCGAGCAAACCTCTCACTCTTTTCTTCTTTCTCTGTCAACTCATGAACATCTTTCAAGAGTGACGTGGTGTGCCTTTGACCACACCCAGTACACTCAACTGAGGCTTCGTGAGAAGGAAAGTAGAGCACAGTGCCACACTACAACAAGACATGAAATAATAATAACAATGGCGTCATTTTTATAACAGTTGGGAGTTGGGACAATTTTGTGTCATTCTCTGCGTGAAAAGATCAGATCAATCAATCAATGTATGTTTTGGTGTTATCTTAAGTCTTGCTTTACTTGTGGGTCGAGACAGGTTGCTGTTGAATATTTAACCCTCTGCTTCAAGGAACCACTGACAGCTGCAGTAGCTGTGTTAATGCTACCCATTAGAGTACTAATGGCCTGGGTTAGTGACAGATTATCGTATCCTGACATTATAGATCTATTTAAAATAATAATAAATAAATAAATAAGAGAAAAATACTTACAGTACATTTATTAGCTGACTCAGAGGTACCACCTATATTAAGCCACACCTTGTTATTGATTCAACTCACCACGTGGTTTCCGTATACTTCCGGACACTTTATTCTAACAAACCACACCCCTTTGAATTGGTAGGTGTGGTTTGTCAGCAGTAAAAATTAAAAGGAGCTAGGCAGAGGATAAAGAAACAGGATTATGGCTGAAGCTGGCAGTGGTCCAGTTATTAGAATAGAGGGACAAGAGGAAGACGAGAAGAATAAAGAGTCCAGGGATGATGGAGGGGAGCCTGCTCGGGGTATACTCAAGAAGAGAGGCCGAGTCATCACTCCAGAAGAAAGGTGGCTAACCTATCCAGCCTAGGGCCTTCCCCTTTTTCTGTAGCAGTAATTAATATACATTATTTATTAATTGTCTGTATAATGGACAAGGGGCAATTGTTATTATTTATTTGTAGTAAGAAGCCATTTAATGACAAGCAATTGTTGTTCCCCCTCCCTCTCTCTCAGGGCTAAAAGAGTATCTGCCAGTATACAATGGGACGAGATGAACATACTAGCGACCGAGCACCCTCCGGATAAAGATTATGGACACATGAAGATTGAGGAACCTAAGACTCCGTATCACGAAATGGTTGAAGAGGAAAGTGAGTCCAAGGATATTCCTGGAGTCACTCCGGAAGATGTTGCACAACAGTAAGCCGCACCCACTAATTTATATTCATTAACTACTAATTAATAAAGTCTTTAATTGTAAACCTACAGTTTTTGTAATGACTGTCCTTCCTTTTTATCTGTGTTTTATTTAATAGCTTTTTTATGCCAAGAAGAACAAAAATATTATTAATATTGTTGTTATTATTATCATTATTATTATTATTATTATTATTATTATTATTATTAACAGCGTAATTAATAAAGGGGAAATTAAGAGCAAATGGGAAGATGAAGATGGTGCCATAACTGATGATGAAATGCTTAGCGAAGAAGAGAAAGGTTTGGAAAGACACCATTTTGTAATGTTTCCTCTCTCTCCCTCTCTCCCCTCTTGTGAACAGTAAAGAAGAGAGAGTTCAGAGAATGGAGAAAAGCACATTACAACGAGTTTGCAGCTGTACAAAGAGCAAGAGAATTAATGAAAGTTAGCTTTTGTTCACCTTATAATAATAATAATAATAATAATAATAATAATAATAATAATTTTTTTAAAATTTATTATTATTAATATCATTATTATTAATAGGAAGATGAGGAAGAGTTAAGGAGATTGGAAGAGGAGGAGGGAGGAGGAGGAGGAGATGAAGGAATGGAAATACAATAACAAGTAATTAATTGAGCGTATCTTTGTTGCATTCTCTCCCTCCCACCTTCAGTAGGTCTTGAGTGAGTAGTTTTTCATATCACGCAGTCGCACCATTCAATAAAACTGTAGTAGAGATTTCTCTGTGAACCTCCTTTTTAGTCACTATATAACATTTATCATACTGTTATTATTATTATTATTATTATTATTATTATTATTATTATTATTATTATTATTATTATTATTATTATTATTATTATTATTATTAGGGGGTTATTGATGCTTTTTATTAATGAATAATAATTAATTATTGTTGGTGGGCGTGGTGAAGGAATATTAATTGATGGGTGTGGTTACAGTACTTTGATGGGTGTGGCCAACTAAAAATTTTATTTTTTCCCTGTTCTAGGGCACAGAGCAGAGCAGAAATGGCAAGCGGTGGCCTATTCTCAAAGCAGAGGGTAAGAGAGAGAAGGAGAGGGAGCCATTATAATACTAAACCCGTAGACTTTCCGTCCTAAAAAGAAATGGGAGAGAGGGACACTGAAGTACGAGCTACACAAACGAGCCAAGGTAACAGTCCTGGTTAGAGGGACTGAAAGGTCAGGATGAGTGTTTCTGCCTTTAGGCATCTTTAAACGCCGGGCTTGACCTCAAGAATGCTGTGGCCTTACCTGCTGATGAAGATGCTAACGACTGGATTGCTGTTCATGGTAAAGGAATCATCAATCATTTGTTTATTTTTGTTAGTTGTTGATTTTTTTAATCGTATTAATCTGATTTACGGGACAGTCGGTGAGTTCTGTACTGAATCAAGCTGCCCAGTTATGTCTGGAGGACCAAAGTAAAGAATGAAGTGTTTCCTGTTTCTCTACTACTCCCCCTCCTCTCTCTCTCTTTTTTTCTCTCTCTCTCTTTTTTTCTCTCTCTCTCTTTTCTCTCTCTCTCTCTCTCTCTCTCTCTCCCTCTTTAGATTTGAATACTACTGGGCTGATGAAGTTCAGAAAAAACCTCAAAAACTACCTGCAAACCAAGTACTGCTTTATTATTATTATTATTGTCATTATTATTATTATTATTATTATTATATTACTGTTTGTTATTGTTCTTGAATAGTATGTCACAAAACTTATGGAATGGATAGAAAAACAAATCAATGACGAAAACATTTTCCCTTCGCAAGTTGGTAAGTAAACACGGAAAAGATTGTTAACTTTCATGACAAATGATGGCTCTCCCCCTCTCTCTCTCTCACCTTTTCTCCTTCCTCCTCTCCCTCTCTCTCTCTCTTTCTTTTTTAAAAGGTACGCCATTTCCAAAGACGTTTTTAGCGACATGCAAGAAGATTCTAACCCGTTTGTATCGAGTGTTTGTTCATGTCTATATTCATCATTTTGATAAACTCATAGCTATAGGAGCAGTAAGACTAATAACTATTAATAACCACTTGACCCACCCACCTCTAGGAGGCTCATATTAATACGTGTTATAAACATTTTTATTTTTTTGTTACTGAATTTAAATTGGTTGATCCTAAAGAATTTGAACCACTAGTAAGCCACACCTCTTAACCACACCCACTCATTGTGTCCTTATAGAGAGATATGACTGCTAGAATTTGCCGCTAAGAAGACACAAACTATTAATAACTAGCTGTTAAGAATAATTAATTAATTATGTGATATATAATTATTATTTTAATAAAAACAACAAGTGAACCATGTACTGTACATAGGTGTGAATTAGCACCTTCTGGCTGTATTTTCAGTATACTTAAAGTATACGGATTTGAATTGTATTCATGTATTGGATGCTCCGTATACTTGACTAACTTGAGCATATACGGAAATTTAAAAAAATGGCTACCTTTTATTGTCAGTTCCTGTTCCTGCTAGTTGATATGGAATGATACCAGTCAGTTAAATGAAATATGATACTGCTATTGATGAACTGAGGGATTTTAACTGCCAGCCTGGCTAATATATAGATAGTGTGATTCATGAATTTTAATTTTTCATACTACATGTTCTATTGGCCTGAATTTTAAAAATTTGTAAAAAAATCCAATTTCGATTGGAATGGGCTTAAACTTTCGACACAACATAAGAACATGTATATGTATCAGAAAACATGATAAAAATGAAGAATTCTCTTTTCATTTTTGGCAAAATTTGGCCAAACTGAGTTCCTGGACTTTTGTTCGATTTTGGAGCAACTATAAAAAGTTATAAAAATACAAACTTGATCAGAATCAGCTCAAACTTTCTTCACAACATAAGAACATGTATATTTATCAGAAAATGTAATTAAAATGAAGAATTCTCTTCTTTTCATTTTTGGCAAAATTTGGCCAAAGTTCCTTTACTATAGTACAGGGACTTTTGTCCGATTTTGGAGCAACTATAAAAAGTTATAAAAAATACAAACTTGATCAGAATCAGCTCAAACTTTTTTCACAACATAAGAACATGTATATTTATAATTAAAATGAAGAATTCCCTTCTTTTCATTTTTGGTGAAATTTAGCCAAAACCCCTTTACTAGTATAGGAACTTTGGTCCAATTTTGGAGAAACTTTAAAAATTTGCAAAATATTTAAACTTAATCAGAACCAGTTCAAGCTTTCTGCACAACATAAGTACATGTACATGATTCATAAACTGGTTGCTTGTGATCAAGTTTCAGGAGAGAATGGAGTAGGGGTGTTGATTAACTTAAAGTGGAGGAGAGATGTATTCTCCTGCTGACTGTAAAGTAAAGGAATGCTTGACACCTCATCACTAAACATGCATATCCTGTCACTCAATATCTCTATGTTTAAACATACATGCCTACACTTTGTTGCTTAAGGCCATGAATGCCTTCTTCCTTATACAGAATGATTCTTGGCACTGGCTCAGGATCGGTTCATGTGATGTCATCAGTCATGCACTCACCTCTCTCTCTCTTGCTGACTGGGGTCAAGTCAATCATTATTTATCATTATTATTATTATTATTATTATTAACGATATATTGTTATTATTATATCATTGTTATCATGATAATATCATCATTGTCCTTACAAATATTCCTCCATTCATGGCTAGACATCTCCCTGTCTAGCCACACAGTATCACCCACCAATCACTGGCTGTGATTTTCATTAAACTTGTTGAAATCATTTCTGCTGATGATGTCATATTACCAGTGAGTCATATTATTACGTCACAGACATCGTGTATAAAATGGCGCGTGATCTCCGTGAAGATCGCTCTGTTTACAGCTGCTTCTGTCACTGCAGTATAACAGGACCTCTTTTTCTTTTAACTGAGAAATACAAAACATTATTTGTTATATACAAGCTTCAAGGAGCTGGCAATGGCTCCAACTCCTCACATATTGTGTTTGATTATGCTCCTAGAGCTCCTCCTTGGGCCCACTTCAGCTCAGCTATCCCGGGACCTCAAGCAAGAACTACTTGACCTGCACAATGGGGCTAGGAGGGACCAGCCTGCTGATAACATGCGAGCTATAGTAAGGACTAGCCTAAAGCACTAACTTTGATAGGCTAGACTCATTAGCACTGTTTTTATTATTATTTGATTGTTTGTATTATCTGGTTCAATGCTTCCTCTCTATGCTAGGAATGGATGACAAGTCTTGCAGATCAAGCTCAAAGGGTAGCCTCCCAATGCACAGAGGCTCCTCCAGATCAGTCAGAGCTCACTGCCTCCCTGAGTGATCAGTACTCATGGATTGGGCTCAATAAACATTTCATAGCTTCAACCGACTCATCTTTAATAACAATAGATCATGCAAGGGAAAGCTTCCAGTGTTGGTCTAATGGAAATACTGAGAACAACTGTCAGTACAGTAGCACTGAAGATAGAGAACAGGTTCATACTCACCTTCACCCTCTCTCTCTCTCCCTCTCCCCTCTCTCTCTCGTATTTCTGCTAAAGCTCCATAATGATACATGTATTATGAACATTGTCTTGACATTATTTTTATGTTGCATTGAATTAAGTTTTTGGTACTACACCAGCTTTACATGATACATGATTACTGTACACATCATAAGATCATTACTTGCCAACAAATGTTACCCATAGTCTATAGCTATTATTATGCTGGTATTGTTTATCACATTTCTTTGTATTTGATTTGTTATAATGAACTCTTAGTGTACAGTGTAGTAGTATTCCAGTAAGTCATGTACATTCTCTCCTCTTGCAGTTATTCTATCCTGATACTCATGTCCTTGGCTGTGGGGCCAAGTACTTCTCTGGAAGTGATCGTTGTCATGTTCTGGGGGTTGGTGTGATGGTGGTCTGTCTCTATGCTCCTGGGTAAGGAGAGGGAGAGAGAGAAAGTTGATATCTGTATGATATCTGTATGTGTTTAATTAAATTACTGATACCTTTTCAAAACAACAACAAAGATTGCTTTATGCCAAATATTTTATACATGTGCATACTTATGAAAATGTAAACTTACAACTTACTGTACAACTGTCCATACCAAAAATATTTTCTTCTCTCTCTCTCCCTCTCCCTCTCTTTCTCTATATAGTTCAGTGAGTGGTTTTAGATCAGCTACTGGTATATCATGCAGAAACTGTCCAACTGTTGCTCCTAATTGTGTCAATGGATTGTGCTGTAAGTATACATATATATATATATATATATATATATATATATATATATATATACATAATATGTACATTATATTATTAATATTAGAATCTACATGTACTGGTTGTTATGTTTTTTTTTATTCTTGTTGAGGTGTAAAGTATTCATAATTATAATTATAGCCTGTTTGTGTTTGTGTCATGCCAAAATATTTTACACATTTAATCAGGCTCTCCCTCATACTGTCAGCAGTCTATTGTGTTTCATGTTCCATTGACTCAGTGTCCATTCCAACTTGTACATGTACATTATGTTAATATGAAAGAGGGAGGGAGGGAGGGAGGGAGAGGTATTTTCACTCCTACTCACTCCCTTCCTCTCACTGTTCTCTTTACATGTTCATGTACCATAGCACATCCCTATACTCCTAATTTGGTACATGGACGTGCACATCACCTGAGTTGCTGATATTTGACCTCATTCCTAATAAGGATCTCTTGTTTTAATTTTTGTAATTATTAGTAAAATTGTAAGCGCTATCTTGTTACCTATCCTCCCTCTCTCCCCCTCTCTTTTTTTCCCTCCCTCTCCCCCTCTCTCCCTCCCCCTCCCTCTCCCCTCTCTCTCCCCCTCCAGCCCCCAGTACCAGTATTCCTCTTGTTCCAGAAGACGATGATGATGATGGCAATGATAATGAACCAGCTCCTTGTAATAATACCACACTATTAGTGTACAGATAACATGTGTCTCTTTTTATTGTATAGATATATATTACATATCTGACAGGCATGGTAGCTATGCTGGTGGTAGACTGATTACTCTAATCGGAAGAAGTATTATTTATTTATTTAATATTATATTTATTTGTCTGTTTATAGATTTTGCTAAAGACCAGTTCAATCGTGATGATCCTAACATTGGTAACAGGGTGGTGTTCACTGATGGGTCTGATAACATTACTTGTGAGGTGGTTACCTACTACACCACCACTAACAGGATTAAGTGCATCATGGGGTAAGATAATCTATATTATTTATAATAATAATAATTATTATTATTATTGTTGTTGTTATTATTTCAGCCCAGCTCCAAGGAGAGTTGATAGTTCATACCTTGCGATTGTTACTGTTGACGGTAAAGAGGTACCTAAAGCTCAGACTTGTCCTGATGGGGATCACCACTGCACCTTTACAGTTAGTGTTACTATTATTAGTAACGACTCATTACATCATGTTATTGTTTTAATAGTATTATAGCTGGGCCACTCCTTACATTGAGAGACTCACTCCTGATGCATTTGTACCAGGTAAGACATGTACTGTGTGAGTACAATATGGTATACCTGTTTATTAAGGTGAAGAAACTGGTCCTGTTACAATGACTGGTCAAGTATA